ATCAACCATCGAATTCCCCGCTCACCTGAAGAAGACTACTTCCATCCCTATTCCCATATGAAACCTCATGATAAATGCATCTATCGATCTGATATTTTTGCGCATACCTACGCACATAGTCCAACCGCCTCACTAATGCTTATGTGACTTACTCCAATAACATCAATAATCTTCCAGGAGGGACGCACATCTCAGCTGGTAGTCGAGATCGAATTTTTTCCCACAATTTTTCTCGACAATCCTGCAATGAAAGCAATCATAAGTGGGTAATGATTTCAGAACAGACGCGATTCAAAAACTTTACGGTATGGAATACATTCTACCATATTCACGTTCTTAAAATCCGACATAAAACTTCCCCATATTTCTCATGGGAAATTTTTCACCATGATTCTCCTCAGGGAAAGAATTACTTCCCCAAACAGAAATTTTCCAAGAGTGAATGCTACAGGTCTGCCATATTTTAACACACACACGCTATATAATTGGCATTACGGGGTTCCCGTTCCTCCAAAACTTTAACAAATTATTCCAACGTAGAAAAATGCACTCAGAAAAGTACCATCGTTTTTACTATTAAGACGGAAAATGTCATCTAAAAAATTTATATTCCAGCTCGAAACCCGCGAACTGAAATTCCTGATCGCATTTCGGGAAAGTATTAATCTCAAAAACCATCACTACATAAAAAAATCATAAAATGCAGAAAAGCCTCTCCAAAAAAATAAAACTTTAATTCTAATCTAGTTTCTCTCCCCAACACGCTTGCCTGATAACTCCATTTTTTCCCTTCCTTGAAAACCTCTCCAAAGCGTTCATCAAACTCTTCATATGATTCATAGAGTAACCGACTGAGCACATGGTCAACTGCGTGTGTTGGTGATAATATGAAAATTTTGAGGAAATTCTGCGGAAAATTTCTCGTTGATACATACGTCGTGTTTGAAACTTCACCAGGAAAAAATTCTGCGGAAATTTCGAAGGAAAATCTCGCTGTTTTATAAATCGTAGTCAAATTTCCAGCATATGAAATTCTGAGGTAATTTCGGGAGAAATTCTTGCTGGTTCATGAGTCGTGTTTAAATTTTCACCAGGGAAATTGTGAGAATATCAAACCATATATTCCAATACTGCGCAAACCATCATCACCATCTACTTAGCATTATCATGTAGCCTTGCGCTAAGCATCAGCTCATCCTCTCCTTCCGCGAGATCAGCCATGCTTTGAAGGGCTCTGACGGCATCTTCCGCCCCATCCACCCTTCCTCCATCGGGTGCTTGGGTTGACCAGAGATATCCACGTAGGGACTCCAGGAATCTTATAATAATAAAGAGTAAGTCGTGAAATATATTTTTCAAAAAAAATATAAAAAAAATCACTTTCGTGATTTTTTTCGCTGATATTATGCGAATTCCAAAACGGAGAAAAATTTCATTGTAATATAATCGCATAAAATTTTCAAAAAAAAACTTATTTCTGCGAAAAAAATGCAATTTTCTATATTTTTAGGGACTTCGAAAAGACAAAGGCGACTTTTGCATTTTTTATTTTCCTTCCCTGATAAAAACTTCATTGCAATACCACCCGTCGTAAATTTCACAAACGGCCCGCCGATTTAATTTTTTCATAAAACCATACCACTCCAATTTGAATTTTCAACCGTCACCAACATCCTACTCTTCCTCCCTGATATCAAATGCAACTTCTTTTTTCACTTTCTCATCACAAATCTCTATTTTTTCCAAACTCTCGAGGGCCTAAAAAATATCTTTTTCTCCATGTGCCCTCCAGAGTAACCTAAGATACCTCTTCCCAGCTGCCATTTTCAATCTGCTCTTTCATTTCTCTAACCTCCGCTCGAGCGGACACACATCCGCTCTCCTCCGACAACACCGTTGCTGCTTTGGTGTATCTTAGCACGGGTCTATGAAGATTCAGATTAGGTCCGATTCCAGACATTTCATCACGACTTTTTTATACTGGTAGTTGAGACGCGGTGAGCCCTGTAAAAGTGGTGGGAAAAATGTCGGGCCCGGGGATCGAACCTGCGACCTATAGGCTACCAAGCCGAAGGCTCACGATAACTCAGTGAATAATTCAAATACCATAACCATCCATATGGCATTAGAAAGAGGGGGATAAACCTTATCCGTTCCTACCCACATTTTATCGTTTATCTACAGTGGAGTTTCTTGACCCGTGGTATGAAAAAACTAGTGAAAAATATATTTCACGACTACTGCATATCACCGCGAAAATCGCCATTTTCACCGAGTTTTACGCCACTTCACAAAAACCGATGAAAACTCCTGTGTGCTCAAGACGAAGAAATATCGTGGCGAGAAACTTCGCTAATTCGACGATTAGGAATCACAAGTTTCGAGAATTCCGAGTTCTATGCATAAAAGTATATCAAAATATATAGATCACTTTACGTTGTTTCGTTTTAGACTATCAAAATCGAACACACTGTATAATACATACATCAACCGTCACTCGCCACGAAATTACAAAGGACGGACTCTTCTTTTCACCGCTCGTATATACACAAGTTTCTATAATAGCCAACCCAAGCCTAGGCCAACCCACCCGAGCTGTTCTAGTGCGTCCACCAGCAATGGGGCCAGTTCTGTACCTTTCTCCCAACTACTTCGTATCTTACAAAAATTACACGAAAAATTGACATTTTTTTGTAAAAAATCCAAATTTTTTACGTGTAATTTCCGCCTATTACGACCTCAATTTCACCAGAAGTTACACGAAAATTTGTGAGTTTTTATCAAAAATTTCAATTTTTCGCGAAATTTTCGCGTATCACGACCTCAAATTCGCCATGAGTTACACGAAAATTTGTGTTTTTTTGACAAAAAATCTCCAATTTTTCTCGAGAAATTTCCGCGTATCACGACCTTGATTTCGCCATACAAAGGTCATCCCTGCTATTACTCCATCCATCCCTCCAAAAATCATCTCCAACTCGCTAGCGCCTTCTCCTACTGCTGCCTCTCTCACTCTCTCCTGTTTGCTTCTCTTAAGCGCTGGACTACTGTTAGAAGGGGAAAGGCTCGAGGTGTCGGATGCTCTTTTACGACTGGTAATAGGAAGATTATTATAAACCCCGACAGAGTCGGGGATGTCAATCTACAAAGGGGAACTCAACACAACCATAATGGCCACGCGGTTAGTCTGCATGCCCAGCATCCCCAAGGTCGGAAGTTCAATTCAGCCATACGCCATATTAACTCCATAGTAATCAACACAACGTTTATTTGGAATAACTGCAGTACTTAATACTTTCGGATTTATTTTTCAGTTACCCGAAATTGTGTAACACATCCCGCTTCCATATGTCATACCATAATTCTGCCACAACAAAAAATCCCGTTTCCACCTTTGAAAATATACGACATCAATATACAGAGTCATCCAATGACTCGGAATGAACCGACCACTTACATGTATATCACCATACTACTGCTGAACGCGCACGCCCGACAACCATAAATCAACCCAACAACGTGTAATTGATTTCAAACTATCTTTCTCTGCTGTGATAGCGATGACGGTGATAGCGACTTTCACTCCTCTCCCTATGCGCCCGTCTCGGGGACCTCGATCGCCTTCTATCTCTGCTTTCCCGAGACCTACTCCTCGCCGACTTCGATCGATCTCTTCTATGGTGCTCCTGATCCACGAGCAAGAATATAGTACAAATTTCAGCATCACATTCACATGATAATCTGAAATTTCTGAGAAATTTTCAGGAAATTCTTGTTGTCCTCTGTACATTTCGATCCGAATTCGTGTGTAAACTTCTATAATTTTCCTTGAGCTCAGCTGAGGAAAGCGAACGTATCAAATCCCAATCGTTTTATTACCACCCCTCACAAAATTCTATTTACCAACAATAAAGTTGCATAAACTTCCCGCGCGCCCACAATCTTATCACCTCTCCCTTCTCCCGACGCTCTTTCTTATGCTCCTTTTTCGACTTCTTTTTTTTCTTCTTTTTCTCTTCCTACCACTCCAATCGCAAATATTCTTCACCACAACTAAGCTCACTCGATCCGCTTCCCCCTCCTTCTGAGCGTCTATTAATCTCCTAGCATTAATCGCTTGCTCACATATACTCGTCCACCCCTTTATTTCCTCAGCCACCGCCTTAGCATACCGCACCCCCTGGAAATCACGTAATATTCAACCATTACCCACCCTACTCCACCTCTATCGACGAGGCAAACACAGTGCCAAGACTCTCCAACTGCTTCGCTGCTCTCAACGCGTCATCGATCAGCCCCTCGTCCTCTACCACTACACGATACTTGTGAAGATTCTCGAAAAACAAACCTAGACGAAAGCGAGCGTTGTATATACCGTCACTTCCTGTGCATAAACGTTCCGTTTAAAACGTTCACAACATCATTCACGAACGTTTATATATTCCTCCAACACTAAAGAGAAAGCAATAAAACTCCTCCGCTCTAACTCCCAACCAGAAAAGTTTATGCAACCGCCCCGACTGCAATTTTTTACCCAGTCTCTTCCACATTACTGCTCGTTGTAGCAACAAATTGTCGTCCAAGATCGCATCCACCTTCTTCTCCACCTACAGTGCGAACCAAACAGTTATGCATAGCTAGATTTTCGAGATTATTCGAGAATACGACGACTATAGACTACCGGTGTCAATCGATTCGCATTGTTATCATGTTGATATTACTCAAAATTGGAAATACTACTTGCATAACAGCTTGGTTTACACTACGAAAAAATGCTACTAGAAATTTCGGGTGAGTTGGAGACATGTGTAACGAAGTAAGAGGATGAAACGTTTTCGGCGGCTATCGCAGTTCTAGGAGTATCATTACTCGATATCAAACTTTCAAATACACCTGGTATAAAATTAATTTTCTTACTACCTTATCGAAACCACGGCTAGAATGTTAACGAAAAAAAACCAAATGTGTAAACTTTTCGGTAAAAAAATAATTTCACCAGAGACGCTGTAAATAACTCCAAACACGGCCTACCTCTTCCAAGCCATCTCTTATCCTCGCCTTTATACTCTTCATCACATTAATCGTGCACAACGCGCATGCTTTCTCTACCACCTTCTTATCACCCGGATTCTGATCACTTCCAAGATACTTTTCCAGCTCGCTCAGTTGAGCCTGTATAGCGCACAGTGAAGATTTTCCGAAAAAAGTGAATCTTTTCACCTGGAAACCTAGATTAGGGTATACATGTGGTCGCTGTGATTCAACCATCGAAAATGCCTCACTGAAAGTCAGCCCTCGCAAAAACATGACGTATCTGCGGACCTAATCCGTATCTTACACGCGGCAACCTGTGGATACCATCCTTCTACTCCTACCACATTTGGTTTACTACATTCAGGGAATCATCGATGAACTTTCAAAACGGCTAGGAACATATTTTCGGCCAATTTCCGAGATTCTCCCCATTATAATCGCTCATTCGGAACATTTTTCCTAGTCTCAACGGGATCTTAGGAACGTTATTTCTGAGTGCTCAATGACTCCTTCACTACACTTATCGATTTTTATGTTTCCTTTTGTGCGATCCGTCCGATATATGATGCTCAATGTCCGATTGAAACCTTCCTCAACATACTAGCAATATATGATTAGCTCATATTCTTTCTCTGCTCTTGAGAAGGATATAATGTTAACTTAGATAATTCCATAATTGCAATCACGAATGAACTATTATTAAATCTTTTATCAACAACTCCATTATCGAGCTCACCGCAACACTTTGATGCCGTGATGAGAAGACCCTCTTACCTACCACGCTTCCTTCACTTTTCACTCTCACTACAACTTGTGATAAACGCGGTAATGTGAAGACTCTTTTAATACTACGATTTTCGATATATTGTAAAAACCAATTATCACATACATATATGCTATAGCCTCTTTATGAGAAGCTACTCCTTTGAATTCATTCCTACCACACTTCTTCCACTTTTCACACTGAACGAATTCTGGAATATGGAGCTACTTTAGAACTACCCCTCTACGAATTTCGAAAAATTGTAAAAATCTTTTATCACTTACATATATACTATAAGCTTCTAGTAAGAAGCTACTCGCTTGAATTTATTCCTACCACACTTTCGTCACTTTTCCTCCCCAAAAACTTACGCAATAGCAATGCTCGAGCTCCTCGAGACTCCTTTCGAGCAATGCACCAATACTCGGTTATGTTCATTTTCTCTCAACGCCCTATCGATGAACTCGAGCGCACCGGGAAGATCGTCCAACAGATTGTAATCAGGCAAATCTTTTATATTCACTCTATAGTATTTCAGCCGTCCCTGCACCGATGAGATGAGCATTCACAAAATCAACTTTGGATCACCTCGTATTTGGCGGGTAGCTGCGGATGAGCAATCACGACATGGGTGATATTATACTGTACCAGTAGCCTGACCATATACACACAATTTAATGGAGTTTTCCCACCCTAGTGATATGAAAAACATACTTCACGACTACTGCATATCACCGCGAATATCGCATTTTTCACTGAGTTTTACGCCACTCCACGTAAACGGGTGAAAATTCAATCATGAACTCATGAAATTTGAATAATGTGCGTCACTATTAATAAAAACAATGTGAGAAAATATGCACATGGTCAACCACATATGTTGGCGAAAATATGAAAATTCTGAGAGGAAATTTCGAAGAATTCTCATTGGTTTCTGTACACTTCTACTATAAATTCGACAATTTTCGCGGAAATTCCCAAACTCGGCTGAGGAAACCGGACATATATTCCTCCAACACTGATTAAATATTAACAAATGATAAATCTAACAACACTATCTGAAAAAAACAGAGAACCACACAAGGAAAAAGCAAAGAGGAGTACACACAAAAAATACATAAAACCACAAAAACACAAAAAAAACAAAAAAAACATATAAAACCACAAAAACACATAAAACCACTAGAAAAAAAAACAAAACCCCCCTTAAAAAACAAAAAAGCACATGAAAAAACACAAAATATATAAAAACACATAAAACTACAAGAACACATAAAAAACAAAAAAGTATAAAACCACAAAAAAAACCCAGCACATAAAAACACTTATTATTCTAAAAGCACATAAGATTCAAAGCATGCCCGAACTGGACCCATCCCCCCACCTCTTATCACTAGCAGCTTCCTTAGAACCAACATAAAGTCTCCTCAGAGTCCTATCACCATCATCAGCTACAGCATGCAAGTGACACGCTTGATCATGATAGAGCGCTTCAAAAAAGGAATAGTGTTTATCAAGCTCAGATGAGGAAACTAGCGAGGCCATGTGAACTCAAGATATGCTGTAACAACAAAGACGATTTAAAAATGTCTCTAATTTAGAACACAGTAGTGGGATTTGAACCTGGGTCCTCGCTGTGGCAGTTTGGTGAGAGCAAGAATATATTTTTCGGTTTTTTTACTGTAATTCGACGTAAATTTTCACAGAAGCTTCTGTAAATGGTATTTTTTATCTATCTTTGTTTTTGGTCACAAGATTCAATATGGATCCATCTTGGTGATCCACGAATACCACCCCCGCGTTAAAAACAATTTATTATCAGTTCATCAACCACACCAGCCATTGATATCCCAGGGTGGCTGACGTAAGATTCATTTCAGGTCCGGGAAAGGCTCGTCGCCACAGTCGTTGGAAAATTCCAAAATCATCCGAACTCAACACAACAAACAATAAAACCGCCCTGCGAAGAATTCATCATCATGATATCATGAGAAACATATCTTAGGTTCCTCATCAAAAGGATACGCTTTAAGGTCCCCTATCATCCCTATATGCCTCCTCATATCACCAAATGCTTTTCGAACCTAAAATATTTTTTCCATAATTTTTCTTCGGAAAACTTCAACTTACCATTTCCCCAACTTTATTTGATTCCTCTTCCCCCTCGAAACCGTCTCGACCAACGACAGCCGCCTTTGGATGCTTCTACGAAAACAGTCGCCGCGATTCGCAAAAAAAATTTTCCCACTCGTAGTATGAGAGATACTTTCCCTAGAGTTGATTTTCCCACAATTTTTCCTATTCAAAATTCCAACACGACTTTGGCTAGAAATGTACAAAAACCAAGAAGAATTTTCCAAAATTTTCGCGGAATTTTTCCTCTTGGAAATTTAAAAATAAATGAGTGTAAAAGTATACAAAACTCAACAAGAATTTTCCAAAATTTCCGCAGAATTTTTCCTCGTAAAATTTTAAACACAAAAGGGTAAGAGTGTACAAAACCCAACAAGAATTTCCCAAAAAATTTTCTCAGAATTTTTATATCCAAACGCAATTGCCCACGTACATCAAAAAAAACTTCGCTCCGCCCTACTTTGAATTTTCCAATTATTCCACTCAGCATAGCAACTTTCCTAGCGCTTTCTCTCAACACCGCAGATTTCCTATCAGCCACCACTGCTTCAGTCCGTAACTCCTCCAATTCCTCCAAAGTCACCTCACGCCACGGATCACCATACAGTGGGCATTCCTAGACAGACCCCAGGTTCGATTCCCAGGACCGGCATTTTTCCCACCACATCTATCGGGCTCGTCGCGTCCCAACTACCACTATAACCGTTTTCTCGAGCGCGCTCTGCGTAATTAAAATTGTGATATCTGTGGTAAATATCGCGCATTTTTTCTAGTCGTTCCATAAACTCCCCAACCACCCAAACGTATCTGCTTAGAATCTTTCCAACCGCAACTTCTTCCTATTTTTACTTCATGCGAAATTTTTTCTCCTCAAAATTCTTCACCAAAACACGAACGACAAATAAACCATCAACGTCTACTTCTGAGAAAACCTTTTTGTCACCATCAACAGTTTGTTACCATCATTTTCGTCATCTCCCGAAAACATCGAGCCAATCTCGAAAGAATACCTACCATAACGCTGACTACTCGAATTCACTAATTTCATTCACAAATTTGAATTTTAATCTTACGAAAATCAATTTTCTTCTTTACTTTTTTTCCAAAAAGCTGTACACAGGACGCAACCAGTGTTCGAGGAATACATATATATGTTCGCTTTCCTCAGCTGATCTCAGAATTTCCCTCACTATTTATACAAATCTGGATAGAAATGTACAGTAATCCACGAGAATTTTCCAAAATTTTCATATCATCACCAACATGTGTAGTTGACCATGTGTAATGTTTTCCACACTGCCAGTGTTTGCATAATATACGATCGTTTTCTTCACTATTTATACCAAAATTTGCACATAAACCAACAAAAATTTTCATATTTTCTCATTGAGAACAACCCTTTATCAATCTACTTATGAACCGGTTTTAGATCTTCCGAAATCTCATTAGCCTCGTCCACCGCTGAGCATAGCTCTCCCAACACTTTCGTCGCTTCCCTCACAGCCTCAGGATTCACTCGAGAGAGCTGAAAATGATACCACACGAAATGAAAGACCACTAGAGAAGACATATTTCACATTTACATAAAAACTGTAAATAACGCGAAGTAAAGCACGCATATACATGTCGAAAATCCCTATCACACGATATTCTAATGTAGTGCATACGATGCAAATATATATTGCATATATTCCCACACAAATCACCTGCAATTCCGGAATAATTTTCCCCGTAAAAATGTTACTACTTCATACTGTTACCAACACATACAGTTTACTATGTGAATATATTCCCACGCCGTTCACTCCAAAATTTCGGAATGATTTTCCCAAAAAATCACCCCGTGAAGAACTGATATTACTTCTTCTCGCAAATCACTATAATTTCTCGAAAATTTCTGAAAAGCTTTCGAATTTTCCAACTCTTCCTCCACATTTCCAAAATCGTTTTCAATTGACTCCATCCGCTGTCCGGGAATCTGATCAACGTGAAAAAATTCCCCAGCAATATTTGCGCTCCTCCTCCTCTACTACCACCAAAATCATCGTAAATGCGCGACCAAACACAATACTATCGCCATTATATATCCTCGTTGAGTTCTGAACAACCTTTTTATTTACTATCACCCTGCATTTCGATGCAGCCCCACACAACTTCAGCACTACCTGAAATCCAACCTCCACGTGGAAAGAAACCCGAACTAGTGTTGTGTTTGAAATTCCTCCTATACTTCTTATGGTTGAAACCAACTTTAAATTTCATATCCGAAAATAATTAATTTTTTACTACTACTTCAATTTTCAAAATCCTGTCCAATTTGAAACTGCCGTAACATGGTTTTATCATTTAAACTTTCAGTGAAAATAACACCAGTGAAAAATATATTTCACGACTACCGCATATCACCATGAATATCGGTGCTATGCACTAGTCGTAAAATATTTTTTTCACTACTGTTTTTCATATCACTAGGGTGGTGAAACTCCAGGGAATTTATATAGTGAATCTCATTAAATCTCCATCTTGAAAATTCACTTCGCGTAAGATACCTAAAAATATGGTTTTACGAGAAAATTTTACGACTTTCTCACCGCGAATATCGCCTTTTTCACCCACCCTGAAATACCTCCATCCCATCTGTCGTTTCGATAGCTGCTAGGTGTCTAGTTATTCCCAAGCCTTGCAGTACCACCGCGTTATCTGCTGCTGATCCCACCGTCAGCAATGCATTCGGGGCAATTCGATAACTGCAGCAATAAGCAGGTAACATTGCTAGGACAGTGAAATCTCACACGTATGTGTCTGAAGTCTTACACTGTAACTGTACTCTTGCAGTGATAGGTTAAAAAGGATCGTATATTCGATAGCAACAGTTAACAACAGTTTCACCACCCTAGTGATATGAAAAACATATTTCACGGCTACTGCATATCACCGCGAATATCGCCTTTTTCACCGAGTTTCACACCACTTCACGTAAAACGGAT